GATCTCCGGTTATTATTATTATTATTATTATTATTATTATTATTATTATTATTATTATTATTATTATGTATCGATATATTTCTCAACATTTACCTTTCTTAATTATGTGGAAGTTCCAAGGGTCTTTATTTTTTAGGACACTAATTAGGGCTCGTTACTTGTAAGCCATTCTTTGACCACGATCGCTATCTTTTCCTCTCCAAGTTAATTCGATCTGAGTAGTGTTGCTTTGGGTCGTTGCACAGTAGTTCGGAAGATGACCACACCGCTGTTATTTCTGTTCGTTTTTATGAATCTTTCTTTTGTTACAATTTTGCAGTTTAGATGTTTTTCTTCTAAGACAGGCCTAGCGAATCTTGTTGTTTGGTGGCCTTTTCTATGGCGAAACGTGGGTCTCCATCTGTGGGGTTCTCCTAATACTTGTTTTAGTTGGAAGCATGTCGTGTGCAACTTATCGTTTTTCAAGAATAAGAATGTGTTCGCGGAACCGACTGTCCTAAATGTTAATTCTGCCCAATTCCCTCAAGAGTTCGTGGAGACTTTGACGGCCAATTTTAATTCGATGAATTGTCGTAAAGAAGTCTAGGAATCGCTCCCTCCACCCCCACCCTCGGCGCGAGCGTGCTGCGCCTGGAGTCCCAGCAAAACGCTTGTTAGCTTTACGCCTGGCTTCACATGCGCGCTATCGCCAGGGCGCTTTGTATACCGACGTCCAATCGAGATACCCTGCACGTCACTCACCCGCCCGCCGAGTCGCGCCAGTCGTTGCGTCGCGGACCGTCTCGGCCCGGGGCGGGCGGTGGGGCGCACGGTCGAGACGGACCTAACCTCGGCGTCGCCGAATCGATAAGACCGCCGAAACGGCGGCGCGGCGCCGCCGCCGCGCCGCCCGTCGCGCCGCTCGCTCCGCGGGCCGTCTCTCCGCTTCGCGCGGGCCGCCGCCGCCGCCGCTTCTACCCTAGCTCTCGCGCCCTTCGTCACTGATTAGACCCAATTCTGTACCTCATGCTGATTGCAGGCGAAGTCTCCGTTGAAAATAGGTTCGATTCCATTCGTCATCCGCTTTCATCCATCTGTTTATACGCAGGCATGCACAGTCAGCCTTCACGAGAAATAGGCCGAAGTATGTATGTATGTAGCTCGTGAACGGACTCAGGCATATCGGCGATCTGCCTCGCGGTCATGGGTGAAGGGGGTACGTGTGGTTGGCACGTAGACATCCCCGCGCCGTATTCCGGTCTTCTCAACCTGAGAAGTGAATTTTCTCACCGTCACACAGCAACACATACTGGGAAATTGCAAGGAAAATACACACCATAATCTTGCCTCACCGGAAATCGAACCCGGGGCCGCGTAGTGGAAAGCGAGCGCACTGATCAACAGCTAGCCACGAGGAAGAAATAGGCCAGCAACAGATTCTTTGGCAGATTCTAAAACGAGTAGAGCGTCGTCAAAACCGCATCGCTACTTGAAACGGGTTTATTCGCCAGCCAGATGACTTAGTACTCAAGCTGATAATGGCACTCCATGATCAGTGTATTGTAACTAAAGAACAAATACGAGTAGGCTATTTGTTATAAAAAATGACATTTCAGAGGGGGAAAAGTACAAATGAAGTGAGATGGTAACCAACCTTGACACAAAATGAGGAACATTAAAAAGTTTTAGCGTGGCTAGGCGTCAGCAATCGACATCATTATCGATCTTTTGCGCATGCGCATACTTTCCACACACACCCTTGTGATATCCGGACGTTTTGGTAGAATAGCACTTAGGGTATCCTTCCGCCCACCAAAGAAACACGAATTCCTTATCCTTCTTCCATTCCTGTTTTCTCTTCTCCTCAGGAGTCGGTAAGTAGATTGAGTAGCTTGAAAGCTCTTGGTACCATCACAGATACACATCACAATTCTCCACACTTTTCCTTTCTGAGGAGGTAGACAGATCTCAAAGTGAGGGCAATGTGGGTAGATCTGTTCTTCAATCTTATCTGCACCACTTTAAAAGTGTAAGTTAAAATCACGAGCCACACTCGTATTTTCTTACACTCTTGCAAGAGTGTACTTACAATTGTTAGTATAGAAATTCAGACAATTCAATAAAACAATTTCTAAAATTATATTCAGTGCAACTCGGCCAACAGAGCCCAAAACGTAACTTTATTTGAAGCCTAAAATATTTACTAATGGGAGTTTTAAGCACGCCGTAGCGTTAAACAATCGATAGCAATACCCATCTTCTGCGCATGAGCAGATGTCTAAAAGTATGGACTTTTAGCTCGACTTAGCGTAAAGCAATCGATTGCAATCTCATCAGGTGCACATGCGCCGGTGCACAAGTGATGCGAAACTCGAACTGCGTATGTGCAGAAGATCGATAGTGCTGTCGATTGCTGTAACGTCACGCCGTGCATAAACTTCCTAATATTCCTCAGTTTTGTGGCAAGGTTGGCTACCATCTCACTTCATTAGTAGGATGTTTTATTCACTTTGGAATGTAATTTTGTTATTACAAATAAAATTGTATGTCTATTCGTGTTTGTTCTTTAGTTTTTCTTTAGTAGAACAATAAACTGTTCATGGAGTGGCCGTAGTAATTTTGTTTCCTAACACTTAAAATATCATCTGAAACGCATTTTAACATGTAATTTTTACATGTTATTTATTACGCATTTAAACATGTTATTTTTGAACGTATTTCTATTTTATTTTAATTCTATTTTTATTTTAAACCCTTTCGTTTCACTCTCTGCACGACCAACGTCGGGTATTTTCGCTAGTATTTTATAATTTGGTGTCTGTAATTTTGATAATACATATTGTTTTTTTCAGAGCATCAATAATATTTAAAAAATGAATTGCAGTACTCTGTGAGAGATCCACAGTATTTTTGCGTTAGAAAAACTATTAAAACATACAGGAAACGCGATCAAGCATATCCGCATAACAGCTCCTTTTATTGTTCTGTGGATAAGAACTACCTGAATCAGCACATTGTAGTGCAGTGGTTGAAAGAGCGTTGTTTCACAGTTAATATGGTTTGAATTGATTTATTTAGTCAAAAACAGTTACAATTGTACGTGTGGGAGAGAAGATAATTTGCGCACGTTTTCTTGAGCTCAAGAATCCCTTCTCAACATTGTAACTATAAATAGTTAAATGATGAATAAACGTTTAAAAATAAAACAAACCAAAATAATAATAATAATAATAATATTTTTTTTTAAAACTCTAGATTTGTAACATTTGAAAATCTAGATATTTTTGTTCCCGAGTTCTAGAAAACTTATTTGCGTGGTTAAACGAACTGCAGATTTTTGTTCGATTGTGTATGATTTAACAACAAAACCCTCACTTCACATACTCTGAAAGAGATGAATAATGTGTCATTGTTGTTTCTTGAGTGGGAAGCGTAGAGCATTTACTGAGAGACATTAAAAGTTGAATATACTGAGTTAAGAATGTTTCAGTTGGTGAAAAGTAATATTTTGCTGAGGAGATTCATTCAGTTTTAGTTGTGAGAAACATGAGAACCACATCTTAATTAGTAAAGTACCAAAGGGTTTAAATTAGAGTTGTACAGTAGACTACAATTTTACGTGGACGCGTGTGTTCCTCACGTAATCTACGCGTAGTCTATATGACATTTTTTACGTGAAGACAACGTACGTGTTCACTATGTAATCTGTGTAGACCATTTATTTTTTCACATCAGACAGTTTATAATAAGAGTTTATAATAAGTAGTAATTACAGACGCATGTTGAAATGTAATATTTAAAAAAATCGATTTAGTAAGTCCAACAAAATATACCATTCCTGATGAAGAAATGGCAACCTCCGTAACCATCTCAAGCAACCAGTAGGGACTTGTTTTAACTTGCACATCAGACCACTCTGCACACTCTTTCCCTCCAAATGTAGTGTCACCAACTCGGCGCACAGAAATATTGTTCAAAACACTGATCATGTTGCCAACCTTTTCGCCCACCGCAAGAGAGGCGGGCCAAATAAGTATTTCACAGGGGAGGAAGGCCCGCCCCATAACTATTTTGAAGCAAACTTGAAATTTTAAAAAATATTTAAAAATTAAAATATTCATAATGGTAGTACTCCTTTGGATGTGATGCAATCAATTTGTAGTATTGCTTTGGATAAATTGACTATAATCATAAATAAATTTTGCCTTTGAGGATAGAAGTTTCTAATCTTCTTTCAATACATTTTTTGATACAGACATTTTTAGCTACTAAACCGATGGTAGTTGCAGCTAAACTTTATCTACTCATTGTGAAATGTAAAATTGTTAGCAAAAAGCTAGAAAAAAACCCGGCAAATCCAAACTGGTATGTTTTCAGCGGTTGAAAATTTTATCAGATTTTGGCCAGTGCAGTGCTCTGATTCCGAATTTACTAATCTATGTAACTAACTTCGATTGACGGAAAACTTCTCAGCCTCTGGCAATGTTAGAGATTTATGGTTTTGTTGGATACCCAGGCAGAATGAAAATAGCTACAGAGTAGCATAGACTTTCTTTTACTAATTTGTTCCCTTATCTCTTTAGTCTGGGCTCTCTTTTCGATTTTGCTCTTTCCTTTTCTCGGCTGCCATCTACTGGCGTCTCTATGATTTTTTTTTCCATTTTTTCTCATTACAGTATGTAAGAATGAATTATTCAGTCATTCTTGAAAAAATCTTTTCTAGTTTGTTTTCATTATTTTTTGTTATATAGTTTTTTTTTCATTTGCCTCTTTTTTGCCTTCATTATTTTTCGTCTTTATTTTTTTAGGAGGGTTGTACGTACTAAATCTCTTTAAGGCATGTGGCGGTATGTTTTGCACTGTTTCTGCTGTAATATGTACATTTTCACCCTCCCATGTTTTTGGTAAAAACCTATTAATGTGGGTTAATGTACTCGGCCCGGCTCATAAGCAGGATTTATGAGCTGAACGTCATTAGTTAAGAAATATATACTATTATTATTGTTGTTATTCTGTTTCAGGCGTGCAAACTGCTTTTGAGGGGACAACCGTCGAGACGGATTTGATTTCCAGAACCTCTTTTTCCTGCTGATGAACTATGTTCACGTTTCGGCAAAGGACGTCTTCTCCAAGGTTACCTGGAAGGAATGACTCTAGACTGGAAATTTGGATTTATCTTTTTTAGGTACTAGTATAATGTCAAATGAGAAAACTCTTAAATTCTGATACTCCAAGGTCTATTCCGAAAGTAATGCGCCCTATTCTTTTCTGCCGCAACTATCCGCCGCACAGCGTTGCCGCTTGCACAGAAGTGTGGGTGGGAGTCTTGGTAAAACAGCGCGACCCGCGCCATCGGCTCCGAGCTCCGAATGCTTCCCTTAGTGAGCCATTGTGTGAGTGAAATTAAGATAGAAAAAACTCTCGAGCAGCGATACGCGATAAAGTTTTCTTTCAAACTCGAGGACACGCCGTTGGAGATATTCGAGTTGCTTCCGAAGGCTTTTGATGAGATCTACATGTCATATGCATAGCGCAAAAGGTGGCATAAAATATTCAAAGAGGGTCGTGAGGTTGCCGATGAACAACGATTAGATCACCCCTCAAAGTCGCGGGATGAAAGTTCGGTTGACCAAGTGTGCGAATTGTTGAACTCTGGTCGAAGGATGAGTGTTTGCCTAATGTCAGAAATACTTGACATTCCGAAGACTAATGTGCCGGAAATTCGGAAGGTGTGCGCAAAACGTGTCCCGAGAGTGCTCATCGATAGCCAAAAAAACAATCGAGTGGATGTGTATCAAGAATTGTTGCAGTGTTGTGAGGAAGCACCCCCAGTCGCCTTACAGTCCTGATTTGGCCCCACCCGACTTGTTTTTGTTCCCAAAGATTAAAAAATCCCTCAAAGGACAGCATTTGGGGTCCATTGAGAACATCAAGGCGTCTACGACGATCGTGAAAGTCTTCCAGGACGCACATAAAGCATGGAAATCTCGGTGGAACTCGTGTGGTGAAGCAGGAAGGGTGCATTTCGAAGAAAACGGAGGAATTTTACGAATCGGTTCAATAAATTTCTTAAAATAAAATGGGCGCATTATTTTCGGGACAGACCTTGTATTTCAATGATTAAAAATATTCAGTCAGGGATCCACAGTACTGGGAACACAATAACAATGCGCTAATAAAGTGCAGTGTATTTGTTAAGTAAAACAGGACACGCAGTATTCTTTCAATTTAAGAACTCCATACAATTTACTAACTTACTAAACAAATTGTGAATGTACTTCCTTGGTTCATAATGAGTACCCATACACTTCACTTGCAGAAGGTGCCGCCGACGAATCTCATCTCGAGATCATCTTGCTTCCGTTTTAGATGCAGCTTATGTGTGCATTACTGGCAAAAATGTTTTCGTCATTAAATACTTAGGCAGTCACAGGTGTTGAAAGAACAGATGCCCTTACTGAAAGTTGGTTGGATAAGCTTTGCCGAATGCGGACATGCCCTATAACTATTTGATCAATATGACTTATTGATCGGATATTAAGAGTGTTGCAGAAAGAATAGTTATCGGATCATAATATAAATTATTGCAATATAGAAGTCATGCAAACACTCTTACATTAAATGAAACACTACAAACTAGATTACATGCAGTTGTAAACGAAATCAGAGAGAGAGAGAGAGACCGACACAGACTGGGAGACAGACAAAGAGGTTGAGAGAGACATATCTGTTCGATTTGCCGAGTGTTCGATTTGCCTGATTGGGCAGCAATCGACTGCAATATCTATATTCTGGGCATGCGCAGATGCACAAAAGTGATTCGAAATGTGAACTGCGCATGCGCAGAAGATCGATAATTGTTTCAACTGTTTTAACGTTCGAGGTTGCAAAAACTCCATTACAACGTGCCTCTTCTTATACTTCGATTTATTTAGAGCTTTATTTGCCAGATCTACAGCAGTTGTGGTGTCATCCAATCGGGAGGCCATGACACAGTAATGATTCAGTTACTGATTTAGTTACTGAAGTTGTGTTTAAATCCAAGTATAAATCCTGGCCCATGATCCGTGCGCGTGTGGGTGCCAAGCAGGTGCCGTGTATCATTTAGTTCCAATAGCTGACGAGAGGTGTCATTCCAGAGGAGGATATCCTCCCCACATGCCGTATAGCTGCATTAAAAAACGCATCTTTTTGCCAACGCAGCGCTATGCTTCACGGATCATTACTACACGAGAGGAGGAAAAGCTGAAATTCCTCTTCAAAGCGATTTCGATTTTTCGCGTCGCCTAAAAACCGCGCACAGTTTAAAAACTCTAAGACAATTTTCGTTATCTAAGAACTAAAAAAATATGCATTTTCCCTCTTAATGAAAATGTGTGAGGAGGCCATTTCTCCCTTCCCTGCCGTGAGTAACCGCCAGTGTTTAAAAGGTAAGTGGCATCCCTGCAGCCCCAACCGCTGTGTTTCACAACGTGTTTGGATTATGTACAGGGCTTTCGGGATAAATCGTGTAATATATTATGCAGGTACGAAGTTTTCGTCCTCAATTTTTTTAAACGAAGTAATACATAATTGTAATTGTTGGTTATGTTATTCAGCACGACACAAGTTTATATTTCAACAACATTTCGTTGAAGAACCTACATGCATACTTTGGTTGCGATACAGCACATGGACTGAACATTTACTTTTTAATTAATGTCACAGGTGGCACTGTGTTTTTGCATATTCAACACTTACTAAGAGTGACAACAGACAGTGAAATATAATGAATCGATTACTGTTCCCAAAATAATATAAATTCCGAGGGGGAAAAATCCAATTTTTTATTAGCTAAAATCAAATGTTTAAATTTTTCATAAGTTGGGATGGTTCAGTGGCAGCATTGTCGTTGCCTCTGCAGCGTCGCTGGCTGGGGGTCGTAAGTCTCGAGACCGGATTGTGGCGGATTTTCAACACGAGATGCACAGCTCTGTCGGATTCAACGCGCCAGGAGGATAATTCTAGCGAGCAGCTGCTTTGGTCGATACTTTCCCGTGGTTTCATCTATCGGCACCAGGCGAATGCCTTAATACCTTAAAACCGGACCGAGCAGGATCTTTCCTTCCTCTACACTTACGAGATGACAAACACACACACAATTTCAATACCACACGTCGTCGCGAATGTAGACTTTGTCCTGAATGCAATTGCATTGGCTTGAATAATAACTCTAAATAATTGTATTTATACTGTAAAAATTGCAAAACGAATACTAAATCTCAGCCAATTTTTGTTGTGTACGTAAACTTGGTGCACGCTTATGCTGCACGAGATATTCACAAAAACGGTCAGATTTGCAGTGAAAAGCAGATGTGCCCTTCCCTAAGTCATTTTATGAATTCGCACCTGAGCGCGAATCATTTTCCGAATGCCAATTTTATGGTATTAGTTAATGCAAGGATGTGAAAATTAATTCTAAGCGTTCTCGATCAAAAATTAGCAACTTTTCTCAAGTGTTAAATATATGTGTGACAAGATTCCCATAAGGCATTACAACATTCTAATAGTTAATTTGAGTGTATGACTTCAGTGTCAAGAGAGACCGGAAGTAACACGTAATGGTAAATATGTGGAATTCTGTTTTAGGTGTATTTCTACTGAAGACGTATGAATCGAGTTCCCAGTTCACTGCACCGACTTTTTCTACTGCCTGTCGCCTCGGCAGCCAACGCGAGAGTGCAGTCGGCCCATTCGCCGCCCCGCCCACCACGGCATCCCCTCCCGCCCCTCCCGCCCAGTCTCGCCTAGCCCGCCCAGCCCCGCCAAGACTCGCCCCGCCCAGACCCGCCCTGCTCCGCCGATACCTCGCCCTGCCTAGCTCAGCCTCGCCTAACCTTGCGCCGTCCTACCCCTCCTCTCTCTTTCCACCCCACCCAGTCACGCTGCCCCATCTCTACCCGCCTCCCCGCCCCGCCCCGTCCCTCAGCCCACCCCGCTCCGCCCTGGTCTTTGCGCCTCGGGTAGCGCCGCCGGGAGGCCGCGGCTCGCTCCCCCTGCCCGTTCCCTGAGACCCTAACTTGTGACGTAATATGAACACTCACAGGCTAGATTCTCAGGTATGGGCGGGGCGGCGCGCCCTCATCGCTCCGATCTCCAACTTCGCTTTCATCGTGGAGGCTCAAGAGAATTTTTCACGAATAATCAACGACATCAAATAAAAAGATCCTCATTTCTAGAGAAGCTGAGGAGTCTGAAAAAGCTTACAATGACTCAATTTATTTATTTGTTGACACAAAAAGTATCGAATTAATGTGACGTACGGGCAGAATATTCTGTGCACGTTTTCTTGAGCTCCAGAGAACTTACACCTTTCTTTTAATATACATTGTTGAATTATGAATAAAGCCACAAATTCGCGTGGTTAACAAAATTTGAAAACTAGAAGGTTTCGCGTCCGAGTAATAGAAAAGTAAACGGTAAACGAACTTCAGATTTAATTTTATAATGTTGCTAACAAAAATTGCAATCCACATCCCTGGATATCCTTATTCTACAACCAGCGAACGAAGCGCTCAACAAAACGTGCACATAGTGATGTTACATTTATGTCCAGAAGCAAAACAAGGATGATTTGATCAATGAATCAGGGAAAGTGGACGAAAAACCTGACCGAGATGGAGATCATTGATCCAGAAGTCGACGTACATTACTTGTTCCAGGCACATTTCATCTTTTAGAATATAAATGGTAACTAATGTAATATGATTATTAAAATAAATATTATTTTCATCTGCAATGTTATTGAAACAGCTATACAGCAGAAAATATTACTGTAAATGGATTTTAATTGTTTAATGCCGTTTGGCTCGGAGTTGTAAAATAACGTACGTGTATTTTATGTGGGTTTATTGTAGTGAGCTATTGATGCTCACACATGATGATTCCTATGACGTGTGTTGTAATTATAGAAATTTGTATTGCATGAAACTATGTCCCTATCCTTGGAGTAATTTAGTTTTGAGAAATGGTTTAATGTCACTTATGAGGCAACGAGAAATCTTCCTGATTTGCAGGAAAGTCATAACATTAGTTAACTCCACTTATTTCTGGAAGGGGAAACATTCTTCCTAGACGTCTAATTCAAAACTGATTAGTTTCATTTTTCTGTTTCGCAATTAGTTTCATATTTTCAAAACTGTACTAATTATTCAGTCAGGGACGGAGACTAACGTGTAGAGAAACCCAAAGTCGTGAATGTCAAGTGTCTTGGAAGCATTAGAAAAGGGGAAAATGTTAATTGGGAATCAATGTCAGTTAAGATTTTTTAATTAAATTACAATTTTTAATCACTCTTTAATATTTTATTTAGTTGAATTTTAGTTTATTTTGTTAAAGTTATTTGTTGTTGTTAAAGGTTTTATTTTCTTATATTGTATTTTCTCTCTCGTCCATTTGGCGAAATGGTTCTAAAATTACGTGCAAATACCCTTTGTGATACTCACGCAAGTATTCCAGAAAAACAAAAAGTTCAAGATATTTTGCCTTTTATTAAATATTTTCATTATACCTACAATGCAACATAATTTGCTCGTGTTTCAAATATTATCAAAGTTACTTACTAAAGAACTACACAACAAAACGTATTCTTCCTTAGTTATAGAGACACGAGTACGAGTAAATAAGTGTTCTGAATTCTCTTACATCCAAGATGAAAATGAATTTGTATCTCTTCATATCAGTTGTCATTACCTTTACATTCGTTTTCTAAACTCTTATAAGTATAGTCGTATAGTTTGGCCTTGGCCACGGTAATAATATCTTTTCAATCTGTCCTAACCTCTGTACTTTTCCGTTTTTACTTCAGACTTCTGTGGCCCCGTTGATATCCCTCTGAGTAGGATGTGCCTCTACATCCTGGTGATAAATTCGTCTAAGTATGTTCGACCTCTACTTCTCCTTCTTGCCATGATTACAACAACATTTTTATTACAGTTCTCATTTTACTCTTTCTCTGAATAATACCTACCCATTTGACATTTTTTCTTCGGACTTTAATACGTTTTACGATAGTTTGCGATTTAAAAGGTTTTTTGGTTCCATATTAGTCCTACTTCTCGCAGAAGCTTCAAATTATCTCTAGTAATGGTTTTTATAAAATTCCAAAAATTTTGATGGTCTGATTACTACAAGTAGCACAGTTTCGAAATAACTTCAAACCAAGTTTTCTCGAAAATGACTATAAATCCTTTCTCGGAAGTCTCCATATCGCAAAAGAATTCAGATCTCTACGATATTCCGAAAGTAACCCAAAATTGTTTGAACAGGAACGAAAAGTAAACCATTGCGTTAATTGAAATGTTCTCTAAATGTTTGTGTCTCATAACATTTTGTGAAAAGTTTGTAAATTGGCGGGTGAGATTTCCTGAAATCGGTTACCGTGGCAAGAATTTTAGATTAAAATATATTTATTACAAGACCAACTACTTTGCACAGATGTTAATATCGAAATAGAGAAACAAGGCGGCCTTAGGATCATATTTAAGAGATTCAGTGTAATGAACACACGGATAGTGGTTCAAGCGTGGAAATTGAAAGAATCCTTACGTACATAGTATTCGAGTCACCTGAGTCCGTCCGTCTCCCCGCCAGTCACCGTTTGACCCTTTCCCAACCGGAAGTGAATGAGAGAAATCATTCTTAGCGTCTCGATCGCTGGTCTCTAATACTTTTTTAGTTGTGTCTCCGAACTCCTTGGGCATCTCTGCGTACGCGCCTCCTACTACGCGCTCCTGCGTCACTACCCAGCGGCCAGAATTGGGAAGGAAGTAGGATATGGGCAGGGTTTAGGACACTTCGCAGGGGATGTACTAGCCCTTGTGAAGCAGCCGAACTCGTTTTGTAGGAACAAATTTCACAGGAGATTGTCCAAAAATCGAACAAGGATCTTCTTGGTGAAAGGGGAGCGACTTCGCTCATAGCCACCGAGACGAACTTTCTCGTAAATGCGGAGTATTATACGTAGTATAGGAAACGTTATGTAATGCTGCGGAAAATCAATTTCGAGATTTCAACGGAAATACGCGTTTTGGGGTCTCCAGGCACCGAGAAAGTGTTTTTTTTTTTTTCTTCTTCAAAACGTCCAACTGTGAACATCACTAGCGCCTAAACCATACGTAGGATTTTTTCCAAATTGAAGAAACCCCTGTCCATCTGGCTCGAATCGAATCTTTGCGTTATTGAAAAAAAAATTCTTTAAAATATGAAGGTACATCATGAAGTACAAAAATGCAATTTTTTGTGTCTCATGTCGTTAATAATTACATTAGTGGAGATTATTATATTTATGAGTACATGTGCTTTAAATAAAGTCAGATACAGTTTCTCGAAAACTCGACCGTTTTCTGTGAAAACTAGTTCAAAATTCCGCATATTCAGAAACGCTCACATTTCTGATAAAATTATAAAAATTATTTTCTCATAAATGGCTCCCATTTTTTTCTTCAAACTTTTTGAACGAATAGTGCTTATTGCACACTTTAAAAGGTCATATTGGGATATTTTGTTTTGTTTTTTAAAAAATTACAGAAGTGCATTTTTCTTTAGATCTCTCACGCCAGTAATATGCGCATTTCCAACAATTTGTACACACTATTGTATTGGTGAGATAAAGTGCTTCAAATGACTTCTGATGAAGTTATTCGGAAACTCATAGAGTTTCTGTGAAAAAGAGCATCACATTTTGAATTTACAGTAAAACTTAAACGCCGTTTTCTTAAAAACTCTCCACATTTTCAAAGAAACGTGCCGTTTAGGACGAGGTTTTACTGTTCTCTAATTTTCTTAAAATAATATTTCCGTTCTACTCTCAGGAAACCGAAAAATTAAGAAAATTTCAAAAAACCCCAAACGAGTCCCACAATCTGATTCTTCTTCAGTTTATTTATTTATTTACGTCAAAAACAGTTAAAAACTATGTGTCATGCTATGGGGAAGTTAATTTGAAGTTACATTTATATCCAGAAGCAAAACACGGCATTTTCTCAAGGATCAGGGAAACTGATCGAAATGGGGGTCATTGATCCAGAAGGTGAAGTCCAATTCTTGTTTAAAGTTCTTTAGAATTATACAATGCAAACGGCAAATAATATATTAAATGTCATTATTAAAATTAATATTACTTTCCTTTTAGATGTTCGGTATAGTCTCTACTTGTATAGAAACAGTTGCAGCAGAAAATATTTTACTTGAGACTTAAACTTTTGTATCGAATTTAATCTGATACAAAAAAGATACATCTGGCAAGGTTTTGTAAAATAATGTACATCTATTGAATGTGAATTTTTTGTAGTGAGCTGTTCATACTGTCACCTGATGATTATGTTTCCTACGTCGACATCAGCGTTTGCTGAAAATATATTCCCTTAAGTAAGACATGTTGGACAAAAACCACTAATTCATGTATGAAGAGACAAGGTAATGGTAAAATACCTAGACTAATAGAGAGAGGCTTACAAGAATCACGTGGGTTTGATTTGCTTATTATTCGTGCAATTATTTTTTTAAATCTAAAAGTCTGGGAGCTATAAGATGTATTTCCCCAGAATACTACGCCATGTCTCGAGCGGAAATGAACATTTGAGAAATATACAGAACGAGCAGAAGTCTGACTGAGTTCATAAGTGAACAAGTGCATCTATGAAGGCTAATGCAAGCATCTCCAAACAACCCAGGTAAAAAGTAAAAGAATACATCTGAGGGCAATGGCAAACATGACGCAATCAACAATAGAGCTTA